AATAAATCCCCAACAGTGTCACCAGCAAAACACCCCCACACCATCACACCTCCTCCTCCATGCTTCACAGTGGGAACCAGGCATGTGGAATCCATCCGTTCACCTTTTCTGCGTCTCACAAAGACACGGCGGTTGGAACCAAAGATCTCAAATTTGGACTCATCAGACCAAAGCACAGATTTCCACTGGTCTAATGTCCATTCCTTGTGTTTCTTGGCCCAAACAAATCTCTTCTGCTTGTTGCCTCTCCTTAGCAGTGGTTTCCTAGCAGCTATTTGACCATGAAGGCCTGATTTGCGCAGTCTCCTCTTAACAGTTGTTCTAGAGATGGGTCTGCTGCTAGAACTCTGTGTGGCATTCATCTGGTCTCTGATCTGAGCTGCTGTTAACTTGCGATTTCTGAGGCTGGTGACTCGGATGAACTTATCCTCAGAAGCAGAGGTGACTCTTGGTCTTCCTTTCCTGGGTCGGTCCTCATGTGTGCCAGTTTCGTTGTAGCGCTTGATGGTTTTTGCGACTCCACTTGGGGACACATTTAAAGTTTTTGCAATTTTCCGGACTGACTGACCTACATTTCTTAAAGTAATGATGGCCACTCATTTTTCTTTAGTTAGCTGATTGGTTCTTGCCATAATATGAATTTTAACAGTTGTCCAATAGGGCTGTCGGCTGTGTATTAACCTGACTTCTGCACAACACAACTGATGGTCCCAACCCCATTGATAAAGCAAGAAATTCCACTAATTAACCCTGATAAGGCACACCTGTGAAGTGGAAACCATTTCAGGTGACTACCTCTTGAAGCTCATGGAGAGAATGCCAAGAGTGTGCAAAGCAGTAATCAGAGCAAAGGGTGGCTATTTTGAAGAAACTAGAATATAAAACATGTTTTCAGTTATTTCACCTTTTTTTGTTAAGTACATAACTCCACATGTGTTCATTCATAGTTTTGATGCCTTCAGTGAGAATCTACAATGTAAATAGTCATGAAAATAAAGAAAACGCATTGAATGAGAAGGTGTGTCCAAACTTTTGGCCTGTACTGTATGTAGTTTTTTGTTAAGCCATGAGTGTCACATAGGTTAACATTACCAAAGGTGTATGAGAAAACTACACCTACTCCTGTGTGTGCAAGGCAAGAGAGGAGAGGGAGAGACACTGTGCTGCTGCCAGAGGAGCCGCTGAATGAGTTCGGTCTGAGCGGTAAATCCCTTAAAGAGTCTGAGAAGTCCGGGGATGGTCATAAAACATTCAGGACGCCACAGTTAATTCCACACTACTGAAGCTGCTCCTCTCTTTGGAATCAACGCTCAGTCTGTAATAATTTCGCATTCCGCCATGCTTGTTAACAGTAACACTATGGCGTCAACGCCAACAATTATTAATATTGCGAGTATCACGATATGATATGGCACACCCCTAATGGCAGCTTGAGATTATGGACAAGACAAAGACATTTACAGTGGACTGCTTCAGGAGCTAACATTACATGGAGTCTACAATGTGCTTTATCTCTCTCATCCTGCCAGATACCACTATCCCGTCGGCTAACACTGTTGGGGCCTCGCTGTTATGACACGGCCACAACAATCAAACGGTTTGTTTTCATTTCCAAAATAATTTATTATTATTATTATTGGTACTTATTTGTTCATTCATTCATCTCTATTCCGTTTTACTGGGAAATACATCTCAGCACAGAAGCTAAAGTCCCTCCAGATTTCACTTGAACTTTAAGGACAAGTTCTGTAAGAAATGCAAATTACAATTTGCTCTTTAAAGATGTTGAAGAGTTAGTACACATGACTGTTGTCTAAAAGGGGAATTACAAAAATGTGGCTAGATCCCGAGTATGCACATAGTCACTTTTCATTTTGAATGACATGAAGATGAAAAAGCAGCGAAACAAAAAGACACAGGGGACAGAAACAAACAGAGAGAAAGCTCTCATTCTGCGGTGTTTGTCTTCTACTCTTGGTGGACATGAGGTGTGACTGCATTGACATTTCCTGGGGCTAAAAGGCTTGTTTCCACAGTAACACTTCCATCCAAACTCTTAAGACAGCTGAGACATACGGTGTCTGATGAAGCCAATAAGCCTCACAGACAAACGTCGCCCATTATGCTCTGTGCCGCACATTTAGGGTTTAATTCATTTAGATTGGAAAAAGTACATTACCACATCTGACTATCATTTATCATCTACAGTACAATGAGAAATCAATACAAAGCAAAACAGTGATTGTGATTAGTCCCCGGCTCTGTTCAAACACTAATGAAATACATTCAGCAAGGAAATGGGGAATGGGCAGCAAATGAGAAAACTGTGTAGTATTAATATTCCCAGTGCATATGTACAACTATAACCCCCCACAGGCTTTTCTGACGGGATTGACAATAAAAGATTAATGACCATTGCAGAAATTCGCCAAGTTCCACTACGCAATTAATAAGCCATGAAATACATTAGTAAATTCAATTCATTATCTGGTCTCTGCTGAAGATCCTTCAAGGATGTGGTCTAAACAAACAGAGGCCAAAGGGTTCTGAGAAAGATCCTTCTGCTGCACATCACCGATGGTGTTGTGTGAGAGTGGGCAGAAATAGCTTAGATAAATATTAAAACAAGAATAGGCCTCAGGCTGCCCATTACTGTGTGCCTGGTTGCAATGCCTCATGTTAGCGATGATTGTTGAGGAAATGTAAAACATGCCTGCACTGCACTACACACACACAGCTGAGCGCATACAAATGGACACACACACACACACACACACACACACACACACACACACAGTCTCTGCCAATATTAAATAATATTTCAAAAGCACTTAGCTGAACAGTGCTTATATTACATATGTCCCAATCTAATCAGTGTGATGCAGAACACAACGCTCTATTCCGCTGTCATTCAGAACCTCATAAGGTAAAGCAAGAATATGTAAACAGAGGGGCAGTCATGTCTGACAGTTGTTATTGATCACAGATTACATGTCTTAAAGGAATACTCTAGCCTCCAGATGACCATTGTTATTAACTACTCACCCATTTTACACTGAATTGGAATGTTTTTCTCACATTGAAACGAAGAATCTCAAAAACTGAGAAAATTCCTGATGAATTCAAGTCATACTCGACTGCGTTTAACATCAGCAAAACTATACCAAAACATCTGTTTACTAATGCTTGTTAAACTTGTGCAGGATAATCTAAGACACGTTTAACCAATTGTGCTCGGGACATCCTAAACAGACAGCCCGAAAAGTGAGACTTATCTATGGTCTCTTCAAAGCAAGACTCCATTGACAGAACCAGTAGTTTTACCTCTTTGAAAATGAGAGCAGCTGGTCCACCACTGCCTCAATCTGTAGTTGGTTTTTTGTTATGATGTGACTTTGGTGAATACGAACTAACAGCCAAGTTCATGCCATAACACAAAGACACTAACTGAGGCAGTGGTAGACCAGTAGCTCCCGTGTTCTGTGAGGTAAAATTATTGTTTTTGTCAATTGAGTCTGGCACTGAAGAGAGCATAGATAAGTTTCACTTTACATTCAATTCACCGTTGGAAAGAGCTGTTTGGCTGGGAAGAACTGAGCAAACGACTGGATGAATGAGACTTGGATTATACTACATGAGTTGTGTAAGTTTGCAAGCGCATGTTCGGACATATGCCCTGTTTCCACTTTGCAGTGCAGTACAGAACAGTTCAGGGCGGTTTATTTCCATTTCCACTGTGAAAAGTTGTGAATGGTACCAATGGAACTGTTCCATACCATCCCCATTTTTGGTAACCTTTCTGTTGGGGTACCTAGCACACAGATCTGGTACTAAAAGGTGGAGCTGTGAACACTGCAGTCTGTTGATTGGTCAGTAGCGTACGGTGACTCTGTGCTCATGGCTAAGTTGTGGCTGGTTTTGAAGCTTATCTAACCACTGTTTATACCGTGTTAAGCGATAAGCGTTTATATGTATATTAATTTTGGCCAGATTATGTGAACTTCATATATTCCAATCCTCACTCGGGCGTTGTGGAGCGTTGTTCCTGTGGGCTATGGCAACACTAAACCCCTGAGCTTGCTTTACAAAGATACAAACCTGCTATTTCTAAATATCCTATTGAGAGAGAGACTCACTGCAGCCTGTTATATTTTCTGAAAATGTCGGCGTGCAACCCCGTTCTGAAGACGATAACGAGGTGCAGACTTCCCTCTGTCACCAGTAATGAGGACATACAGTGAGTGCTGGACGGAGCAGTTAGTGACAACAACCCCACCCACATTTAAGGGTACTGTTTGCAGTGGAAACGCTAAATGCACCTAGGGTCTAGGAACCATGTCTGAAGGGTTACTTTTGGGTTCCAAAAGGTACCATACCGAGAGTGTTTGGTGGAAACGGAGCTATAGTTTTGCTGTTGTTAAATGTGGTCCCCTTTACTTCGATTCATCAAGAATTTTCTCCGTTTTTTGGATTCTTCGTTCACTGCAGGCATGAATGAAAAACTGTTGTTTTTTTCATACATTCAGTGTAATACAAGGTGAGTAATTGATATACAAATGATCATTTGTGGGGTGAAATATTTCTTAAATAGGTCCAAAACAGTGTAGTAACAGAAATTAATAAATACTTTGTCAATGTAAGCTCACTTTATGCAAAAGATAGAGAGCCATAGGTTGCTTCAAACCCATGAAGATAATCTGAATAAGGCTTTGTGTTTTGGTACTGAATGACATCCACAGCAAAAAGTATCCCTGAGATAGTAGGTGCAATTGTGACCCTACTATGTTGCAGTCAAACACAATGGAATGAGCACTGAGCAGTAATTCATTGTTCCACATTATTTTTGTGACAAATACTGCACCACGCATAATTCTCAATGCTTGAGTGTAGAGAACACCAATTATGACCTGACTGCTAATGCAGATGGTAAAAGTGGACGGTAAAAACAGTTTTTGTTAGGATGGGGGATCAAATCATTTTAGTGTTTGAGTTTGACATACCTGGAGTTCTCCAAGGCAGGGACTTCTCAGACGAGCTGTATGGGGGAAACAGGAGAAGGAAAAAAAAAGAGTTAATGAATGCACTACAAACCAGAGAGACAGTGAAGTGATGAACATGAGTCAAATTGTCTGGAAGAGACAACTTTCAGCCTTGTGTACTCTTTCCTTGGGCCTTTCACAACAGGGTCACAGACGGTAATCACTGTGTTTGAGATAAAACTACAGCAAGGTCCGGAGTATACCACCTAAGAGCAGATCTAACGACGCAGATGTAAAGTCCATTCCTGTCATTTGTGTTTATCAAGACCTAAAGGTGCCTTTGGTGACAGCTAGTGTCTTTGAGGACCCATCAGCACTGACAACAACAACAAAAACTTATAAAAGTGCTACTGGAAGGTGTTTTTCCACCTGCAGCTTTAATAAACATGCTAGGCTAAAAGTACAAAAGGCCGGGAACACATCCTGATGGGAGCAGAAACAGAGCACAGACAGGTAAGGCAGGCTCCAGGAGTAAAATCAGAGGTGATCGTACAGTATATTCACACACACACTCACTGTACAAGCTCACACTGTCCTGACATCCGAATATGATCCTGACATGTGTTTATTCCAGCACAGAGAGAATCTCAGAGAGATCCTCAGCCTCCAGAGAATAATGCGGGAGAATAATGGTCGAGCCAGAGAGCGATCACAGCTTGTGACTCTGCCAACAACACTGAGGGATACCAAGCAGCAAAAACATAAAGGATACAGTGACAGTGTGTGGGAGATTGATGATGAAACGTCCTGGGTCAGTGGATGAAGGATCATACCTAATGACAAGTTCAGAGCAGGAAAGCACCAGACCAAGCATTCGGCAGAATATGGCTGTCCATTGGGACTGAACTGATTTTGTTTCTTCAGATGCAACATCTCATCAACTTTTGGCCTGGGGCATCCATTGAACACAGCAGGAAAGCCACAAAAAGATGCAAACTCCAACGGTTAGCTGGAGTTTTACGGGTGAACCCACTAAAACTGGAAGTATCCCATCACACCAAATAAGAGCAGGCTGTGGGAGAAATGGTGTTTCTGCCATTTTCCATCATAGAGAAAACATGTCTGCTTTGGCAACTGCATATTTGGATTTATAAAAAAGTTGTAAATGTATTTACTTTCAGTATCGCTATGGCGTAGCTTAGGAGTCTGCACATGTAACTATAAATAATCAACATACTTTCTGCGTTCCGTGGACACCTGTGGACACTTCGACACTAGGGATGCACATGATTAGTCGTCTTAACGATTAAACGTCTGCCCCCTTGCTAGTCGGCACCAGAAATATTAGTCTGTAAAACCAATTAGTGTTTTATTCGTGTACAAGGCTGCTTAACTGTCATGCAGCCGCCTGCCACTAGTGGGGGCTACAGAGCCGTCAGACAGCAGTCCCCCTCCCTGCAGTAATGCTCGAGTAGACTGGATGTTTAAAACAGCGCGGTTGGAAACTGGTGAGATGTCCTCTCACAAAACCAGCGCGGTTTGGCATTACTTTGATCTAGGAAATGAAAACAATGGAGCATGTAGGCTGTGTCAGAAAAAACTGTCATATAATCACTCGACTGGAGCAATGCGCAACCACATTCAACTCAAGCATTTGGATGTTAACCTGCACGGAACAACGGCTGCTGCTGCTAGCCGTGCTAACAACACACAGACAAATTGGACATTGCTTACCCGAAGCGCTGTGATCCCACCTGGTCTAAGAAGATAACGCAGCTCATCACGCCAACGACCTTGCAAGATATGCTTGCACGCTGTTCTATAGTAGCACTTCCATTGTGGACATGCAGAGTATGAACTGGCTTTTAGAAGTACAATATAACCCTTTAACGATGATGTATAAATCCATCTTATGCTTGACCAAACCTTCACAACAGGAACATTACACAGTTTCCTGCAATGAAAGTGTCTCCAGGGGGTAAGACGGAAGACGGAAGCAGGGAGAAAATTACACAGTACATATTGCAGTATGTTTGCTACTCTTTTTGCTCTTCGGCTTGTTAGATGATTGAAAGCCTTTCTTCCAAGTACTAGTGTGAACACAGCACTGATGCAGTCAGTGTAATAAAGTATTTATAGTTACTTTCAGAACTGGGTTTCACAAATATTTTCTTTCCCACTGTTGTGAAAGTTAAAATACGGAACAAGAACAACAGATATTGAATTTACGTTTGTTTAGTTAATGATCAATACTAGTTGATCATGATCAAGAGAACAGAGTCCCATTTTTATCATCTTTAATCCTACCTTAGGATCCTTGTAAAGAAGCAAACTGAAGGAATATAAAAACGTAAATGTTAAATATAACTTGAAAGCTTACCGGTAAAAAAAAAAAAAAAAAAAATCTTTAATCCTACCTTAGGATCCTTGTAAAGAAGCAAACTGAAGGAATATAAAAACGTAAATGTTAAATATAACTTGAAAGCTTACCGGTAAAAAAAAAAAAAAAAAAATCTAACTGAATGCTACATACGTTTTTATTTTCCTTCTATAAATACATACTTTTCTGAAAAGTAAATTCATTGTAACCGTGCAGCAAAGGCATTGCACTAATGATAACTTACAGTCAAGGCTGCTGCAGAAAGAAAAAAGCAGAACAGCCATGTGAGACATCTTAACAGCCACCTAATAATTACAACTCATGTACGTACCATGGAAAACACTTTCTGACAAAAGGGATAGCCATTCACTTTCTCAAAGCCATTTTTCCAAGGCTGGTTATTATGACAAACAGAGGCCAAGCAGGACACCTCGGAGCAGTGTTCCCCCTTTTTCTTTTTAATATCCTCTGTTTGCTGGTTATTACTATCAAGCACTCGATGTCGCAACTGCTGCTATTTTTCCATCTAAGGTGAGAGTCGATGAGCTTTAAAAAGCACGGCTCTCCGAATTTTAATGAGCACGCAGGCAATTAAAAAGAGGAAGTTGGGGCGAGCTGTGCTCCACTGAACCATGGCAGATGAAGTAGAAGAATGGCGACCATAATGATGATGCGCCATGCGTGCTGCATGCCGACCGGCTGGCTGGGTGAAGGCAGCGTAAAGAGATTGTAAAACTGCCAATGCTGATAAACAACAGGCCTAACCCTGACAGGACACTTTATTTCCCATCAACCCCTATGGCCGGTTGGAGGTTGCATCTTTTAGGAGTTTCGCCAGGGGTCAAGTTTGATAACCACCACCCTGTATGCTCGTAGAAATGAAGGGGGTGGTCAACTCTGGAGGTGTCATGAAATGTAATGACTCCCATCAGAACCCTTGAGTGTGCTTTCACCTCTGTCGTCGTCCAGCTGAGCCATTGAGCCTAGTGGTGTGAACTCATTGGTTGAAGCTAATCTCCATTCACACACAAATGTCCATTGACAGCCATTTCATTTGTCCTTCTTTAGCTTTAAAGGTGTAAAAATGGTGTTGCATGTTTTCTTTATAAGATCCCCAGGAGGTGGCAGAAGTCCACTGGTCCCCTGGTGGGAAAAGTGGCTGCATTTACACTTATTTAAAACATGTGATTATAACTTTTGGCAGTAACAGGATTTCCGAAACATCATGTAAATGGGAAACTTGGCTTGTTATTGGAATAATATTATAAAAACCTGGATAACAAAGGTAGACTTCTGCTGAAGAGACCTGATTATTAACCCACTATTCACCACTCACCTATGTTTCTGAGAGGTCTTGTGGCCATTTGCATGCCAAAGACCTTAAAGTACTCGAATCTCTGTGGCAACAGTAAAGCAAGGTGAAAGGAAAGCACTTTACTACTTACAGCTGTTTTGGCTTGTATCCAAAATCATTTCATTACATCAAAGCTCAAAATTTAACTTAAAAAGAAACTGTATTGATCTTTCTGCTACAACTAAAAACATAAACCACCTAACAGTGGGCTCTTTAGTTACTTGAACACAAGGGCAGGGTAAAAAAAGAAACAGTGGGCTCTTCATGAACACTCTATCCACTATCAGCACTGTCAGACAAAATGTCACTTGATTGGTGACGATGGGCCTTTTTGACTGAACAGTCTTAGGAACTAAACCCAGGAATTAAATCACCAAGTGCAATTTTCACACACAAAGAAATAACAGAGACACAGTGATGTTCTTTGTAACTTACAAAGAGTGTTGCACAAATCACACCACAGACACGCAGAGGCGGAGAGGGATCCTGAAAACTACTAAGTAGCAACAATCTGCTGTTTAAAGCCACAGTTGGTAACTTTAACGGAAATAACTTTGTCATGTCTGCTAAAACTGTCACTACATCCACACAGAGCACTTTGGGACTGTCTGGTCACAAGCTTTCTCATTATACAGCTAAATAGTACGCTCGAATGTGTTTCAAAAACATCTGAGGTGAGAAATAGGCAATGAAGTAACAGAATCTTGATTCCTATTTGTGCAGTGCTGCCTAGTTTGACAGTTTCAGTTCTCGAGCAGTGATCATCATGACCGACATCTGTATTAAGCCCTGTTTCCACTGAGCAGTACGGGACAATACAGTTTAGTCAGGTACACTTTTTTTCCGTTTCCACCTAAAAAGTTGTGGATGGTACCAATGGAACCATTTCCCTGCCTTTCCTTTTTTAGTGACCCCTCTGTTGGGGTACCTAGCACACAGTTCTGGTACTAAAAGGTGGAGCTGCAGTCCGTTGATTGGTCAACAGTGGAGGGTCACTCTGCTCAGGGCTGAGTTGTGGCTGGTTTTGAGACTTAAAATGAAATGATGCCTTTCGCAGCAGCTGTAGACTGAGAAAACATATCTTGATTCACTGGGCCGACTGCCGGCAACTTTTAAGGTGGAACGTTGAAGTGTAATGTTACTCAATGCATGAGGTGACGACCTGAATCCATCAGCACACCTTAAATTTCAATGTCACAACTTTGACAATTTCATTAGTTTTTACTGTCTCTCTTGGATGACAGACACTTTTAGTAATGATTGGATCTTCAAGCAGCGTTTAAAGATATATATTAATTTCGACCAGGTTATGTAAACTTCAT